GCGGCAGGGGAGTGGGGGAGGCGGCGCCGCGGTGGGGGGGGGGGGCGGGCGTTACCGTGTGGTCGGTGAGCGGCGGCAGCACGATCAGCTTCTCCATGGTGTTCATCACCACCCTCCAGAGCTCCTTCAGCACCCGCTTCAGCACCGTCTTCTCACACACCGTGGCGAAGAGCGTGAGGCTGCGGGAAGAGCGCAGGCGCGGATTAAACAACGCGTTCCACAGATACCCCTGAGCTGCATTAGGGACGTAATATAGCTACTCAATGGCACCTAGAACGCACACGGTCCCTCTTAGCATCCGACCGACCCGAGGAAAAGATGGAATGACAAGTACAGAGCCGACAAAAGAAGCCGTTTCTCATACACTGTACCTGGCGAATGTCACGGGCGTCACAGAAACCCTGCGGTATCTGCTGACTAAAACCTTCAAAGTGAGCAAGTCAGACACGTTGCCCAGAAGCCTCCTCTTGCAAAGATAACCCCCCAGGGACGGACAGAGGAGACATCTCTAGGGAGTCATCCAGAGGGCTGGGGAAACCCCTCCCAAGGGACTGGAGATTTTAGGGCACCATGGATGCAGAACTCTCCTTACTTTCCATCCAGGAAGTCCATTAACGGCCTCAGGACGTTGTCTGCATCTTGTGCCACCGTGTTCCTGGCATTGGCAGGGATATTGCCCGTCCCTTTCACTTGACAGAGCACGTCTGACATCTGCTTGACACACTCATCAATGCGGCTCTGGAAGCTAGACAGACAAGAGAGAGGCCTGTTAGTCAGTGGCAAAGCTATCGGCTCCTGCACCGGGAAATGCACCAGGAGCTCCCGAACCAGGCCAAGAAGGGACCGTGCAGCTGCGTCAAGACCCCAAGACCAAGAATTCCTGCTTGCAGGGTCCCACGGGGGGGGGGGAACATTAAGCGTTGGCGGCCGCACCTCACCTGCGCACAGCCGCCACGTCACTGGGAAGCCCAGCATAAACCAGTCCCTGGCACCCCCCGACAGGACTCCAGTATTCCCTGGTTCCTACGCCTCCTCTTCTCTCCTGGAGGCCTTCTGCCATCCGACCGCCACGCTGCAGCCGGGCGCGACCCTGGCCCCATGTCACATTACTGGATTTTGAGGGGAGCAGCCAGATCACTGCTGCACCCCTAGCTGGGGGTGTTGGCCCCAGAAATGGTATAAAAGGGGCCATGTGGGGTATTGAATAGAAGTTCACTGTCTGCTAATCCTGTGTACGCTGGTCATGTGTTTGTATAATGTCTGTGTGTGCAATTATAAGCATGTACTTGTATGGATACTGAAGATTTCCCTGCATGTGGTTGAGCAGTGGGCAGAGTTCGGCCTGTGGACATGCTAATCAGCGAGGCCCTGTGGGACAATGGCTCTCAATGGGCCAAGGACACACCTAAAGAATGAGGGTGACTCATACCTAAGGGCTACCAGCAGGGGACACAGGAATAAGCTGTGGACCAGGTGACCTGCTGTAGCCAAGAAGAGACCAGGAAGGAGGGATAAAGAGGCCATGTGGTCGACTCCATCTTGGTTCTCAGCTCAGCACTTCATCCCAGAGGCAGCATTGCAGGGATCGAAGAGCCCGGAAGACCTGTGAACCCATCCTGATTCTAGGATGTGCAACAAGGACTTTTAAACCAGCAGCTGTAACATCTCTGCTAGAGCCTGCACCAAGAGCTGGGAGATTCGGTGCATGTAACGTACTATCCTTTAACAACCTGACTCTCATGCTTTTCTTTCTTGTGATAATAAACCTTTAGTTGTTAGATGCTAAAGGATTGGCCCAGCGTGATTTGTGGGTAAGGTCCAGAGGGTAAATTGACCAGGGATCTGTGGCTGGTTTCTTGGAACCGGACAGAACTTGTTCGGGGTAGGTGGGATTGGGTGCTAGGACCCCCCACCTGTGTATAGGCCCGGGGCCATCTGGGGCACGGATATTGCTGGGGTGTCAGAGGGGTTTTGCTCGTGAGGCTTCAGGCTGGCAGCTGAAGCACTCTGTGGGACTGGCTTGTGCCCTGTTCGGAGAGGTCACCAGTCTGGGGGGCTGTAAGGAGCCCCGGATAGGTCACCAGTCTGGGGACTGTAAGGAGCCCCGAAGTTGAGCAATTCGCCCTGAGCGGACGCCCTCAGCTGTGCCCAGACACGGCCCGGTCCATCACACCCAGTTTCCTCGGAGCGATCCACCCTGGCGTATTTTGTGCGTGGGAAGAGCTGACGGGGAGCGTTACATTAAGGAGGACGGCGATGCAGCCTTCGTTGCTCAGTGCTCTGGTGCTCTCCCGAGAGATCAGCTGGCCTCGGCGGGTTGGCAATGCAGTTACTTGCTCGATGGCAAGCAACGGGCTAGAACTGCACCAGGACAGGAGACGGGGAGGGGGAGGGGACTGCCAGCTCACCCAGACCAGGTCAGACATGGATTTCAGTTCATTTTGCTAAGGGACGGCTCGTGGCGCCATGCCAACCCTGAGCGGAGCTGGTTTGGTACCTGGCCACGTATAAGCTGCCCCCCAGCTTGGTACCGGAGGGACAAGGTGGCAGGTGGCAGGTGGCTCTCCAGCGTGCTGCAGGGTTAGTCACGGATGTTACGTTTGCACGACACCTGCTGTGGAGTTTTGCCCTCTGCTCTTTGGGGAATGGCACTGCCAAGCGGTGAACATAACAATGACCAGACCGGGTCAGACCAAGGTCCATCCAGCCCCGTGTCCAGTCTGCCCACAGTGGCCAATGCCAGGTGCCCCAGAGGGAGGGAACACAAGAGGGAATCTTCAAATGACCCCTCCCCCGTCACCCACTTCCAGACAAACAGAGGCCAGGGACACCATTCCTACCCAGCCTGGCTAATAGCCATTGATGGACCTAACCTCCAGGAATCTATCTAGCTCTTTTTTGAACCCTGGAAAAGTTCTGGTCTTCACAACATCCTCTGGCAAGGAGTTCCACAGGTTAACTGTGCACTGCATGAAGAAAAACTTCCTTTTGTTAGTTTTAAACCTGCTACCTATTCATTTAGTTGAGTGACCCCTAGTTCTTATATTATGGGAACAAATAAATAACTGGTGTGACCTCTGTCATATCCCCCCTTAGTCTCCTCTTTTGTAAGCAGAAAAATCCCAGTTTTTTAAATCGCTCTTCCTATGGGACCTGTTCCAAACCCCTCCACATTTTTGTTGCCCTTTTTTGAACCCTTTCCAATGCCAAGAGATGTCTGTTGCGGTGAGGCGACCACATCTGTACGCCGGATTCCAGATGTGGCCGCCCCCTGGTTTTATACGGAGGCTATACGATGGTCTCGGTCTTACTCTCTATCTGAAGGTGGAACGCAGATAGCCAAGGGAGTGCCCAGCTCAGGGAGGATGATAACATGCCCGAGGCCTGCCGTGGAGAGAGCCCATCTCTGTACCCAGGCTCCCAGAGACAATGTGCTGGCATACCCTAGCTGCCAGGGGGTGTGGGCACTGTTTGCTCTGCAGCGCGGGACGCTGCGGGCCCTCCTGCAAGCCAGTGTGAGGCGGGAGAAGCTGGGTGTTTCTGACCCGGCCTTGGGGGTGAATTATTCCCCCCATATCCCTCCTCGTGCTGAAGCCACCAGCAACGCGCGAATTAAGCCAAACAAGGCCAAACAAGGCCCCGTCATGCTGAGCCGGGCTATGGGGCTTCCTTGGGACAGAGGGAGCAGGGATTGAGGAGCGTGACGGGCTCCTCGGCTACCGCGGCGATCCCGCACCCACGACCACAGCTCAGCTCCCACGCTGGCGAGGGGCGCGGGGCCCCAGGAGGTGGCAAAGTTGGCAGATGACACCAAACTCTCAAGGTAGCCAAAGCAGACTGCGAAGAACTTCAAAAAGATTTCGCCAAACTGACTGACTGAGCAACAAAATGGCAAATGAAATGGAATGTGGATACGTGTAAAGTAATGCACATCGGGAAAAATAACCCCAACGATACATATAATAGGATGGGGGCTAATTTAGCTACAACTAATCAGGAAAGAGACCTTGGAGTCATCGTGGAGAGTTCTCTGAAGACGTCCACGTAGTGGGCAGCAGCGGTCAAAAAAGCAAACAGGATGTTAGGAGTCATTAAAAAAGGGATAGAGAATAAGACGGAGAATATCTTATTGCCCTTATATAAATCCATGGTACGTCCACATCTGGAATACTGCATACAGATGTGGTCTCCTCACCTCAAAAAAGATACACTGGCATTAGAAAAGGTTCAGAGAAGGGTAACTAAAATGATGAGGGGTTTGGAACGGGTCCTATATGAGGAGAGATTAAAGCGACTGGGACTTTTCAGCTTGGAAAAAAGGAGACTAAGGGGGATATGATAGAGGTCTATAAAATCATGAGTGGTGTGCAGAAAGTGAATAAGGAAAAGTTGTTTATTTGTTCCCATAATATAAGAACTAGGGGTCACCAAATGAAACTAATGGGCAGCAGATTTAAAACAAATAGAAGGAAGTTCTTCTTCACACAGCGCGCAGTCAACCTGTGGAACTCCTTGCCTGAGGAGGTTGTGAAGGCTAGGACTATAACAGGGGTTAAAAGAGAACTAGATAAATTCATGGAGGTTAAGTCCATAAATGGCTATTAGCCAGGCTGGGTAAGGAATGGTGCCCCTAGCCTCTGTTTGCCAGAGGGTGGAGATAAATGGCAGGAGAGAGATCGCTTGATCATTACCTGTTCAATTCGCTCCCTCTGGGGCACCTGGCATTGGCCACTGTGGGCAGACAGGACACTGGGCTGGATGGGCCTTTGGTCTGACCCGGTCTGGCCGTCGTTCTTCTATTCTTATGAGTTGCCAGATGCTTTGTAGGCTAGCGAGGCTGCGTGTCCTACCTCGCAGTTACAGCGCTCCGGGAAGATCCGTCCAAGCTGCCCTTCCGCTTCCGCTCTGATACAATCACCTCCCCTAGCGACTGGTTCATCTCTCGCACTCCGGCCCCTGGCTCCGAAACACTCGCTCATGTGTGTGCAGACACCGCGTCACCTCCCTACGGTACCTCGTCAAACAGCAGGATTCCACCCCCATGCCTTGGAACACCGGCCCTGCGCCGTAGGGGTCAGAGAGCACTGCCAGCCGGCTCAGGAGGCGCTCTCACTCATCCTCGCCCCGTGCGTTCGGATCTCCCCGTCTCCTGTGCCTCCATCCCTGGGAGCCACACGAGTGACGCCCTTCGCTCCAGGGCCGGATGCTGGGAATGCGCGCAGAAGGGCCGGCGGCCAGGAGCACGGCGGAGGTATGGACGGGGAACAGAGCCATCAGGCCGCGTTCCTCCCCACGGCCCCGGAGCAGTGGCCTGCCGGTGCACAAGCGAGGTGAACAGGCCTGCCCGTGCCGAATAGCTCATCAAAGCTCGAAAGACTGGACCAGGCGGGGAACATTTTACCTAGGAACATCAAGTCCAGCCCCCTGCTACCACAGCCCAGCCCACCTGCAAATCCAATTCCTGCATTTACCAACCCCCGCCTGTACACTAGTGCAGCTGGTTCCCCCCAGTACACCTGTTGGGAGGCTGCTCCCCGATGCTTAGGAACTTCCTTCTGATTTGCAGGCTCCACACCCCCATGGCCGGTTTCCCCCCAATCCACGCCTCCCCGCAGAGACCCGAGCGTCCGGAGTAAGCCAAGACACAGCCCTCACTCGGGGCTAAGACTCAGGCACCTTCCTTGGCACCGGGAACTGACGCTTTTAGCTGCACCCAGCAACAATCTGCTGCTTGTGCCCATGGTGACTGAGCAACCTCTAAAAAGCGGCCAACGTTGCAACAGGCGAGCAGAGTCCCACCGTGACGGCGAACGCTACCCCAGCGCCCGGCCGATTTTTATGCTCCTTGACCCAGCAGGGGGCGCTGCGCTGCTGCACGCGTTACCAGCCCAACGCCTGCCTTTACCGAAGAATCTGATTTCGACCCAGAACGACTTGGTGCAATTGGCACGGGTTTGGCTGGTCTTGGTCTCAGTCTCAGGCCAGATGCAGCCGGGGCTGAGCTGAAGCCAAGGAAAGTCCCAGGGCACTAGGAGCCAGAGGGCCTCACCTGTTACCAAACACCACGCTGAGCTCATCCAGAACGTTGTTCAGCTTCACCTGCAGCTCTTTGAGATGGTCGCTCGCTTCGGGGTCCAGCTGGGGAGAGAAGGACAGAGCTGAGCTGGGAAGGGGGGGTTGGTTTGCTGCCCCCCAAAGCACCAGGAGCCGCTGCTGACTAGGCGGTGGAAAAGCGCATGAAACCTCCTCAAATTGTGTTCACTAGAATCCCTGCCCAGGCCCTGCTGCAGGGCTCCCTGGCCAGCTGGTCTGCAGGCAGGGCACCCCCGCTAGAGACTTCCCCACAGAGCCATGTGCAAAGCGTGCTTGGGCGCCCAGTCTCCATCCCCTCTCCCCAAAGCCGGTCCCTGTGCCGGGGAGACGGGGAATGTTTAACCCTTTCTGGTACAGACCCAGACCGCACTGGGCTCCCGTGAGATACCCCCAGGGGCTCCAGGGTTAGTCTGTGACTGGCCTCTAGCGTGTGGCTTTTCCAGGGCTTTGGCTCTGCGCGTGAAGCAGAGCGGCTGTGTCACGTCCTGCCCCGCCCCGCCCCGCTGCAGAGCCGGGTGCATTCAGGGGGACACAGAGCACACCGCCACGCTTTCAAGTCCTCCAGCGCCAGGTCCCCCCCTTGGAAAACCTGCCCCCGAGCGTCACCAGGGAGCTGTTCTGTGCTGAGCACTTCTGAAAATACGGACCCTGCCGTGACTCTGGGCCACAGAGGTGGACCGACGGCGTGCGCGCCTCTCGGTGAGACTCAGCCCCGGAGACCCTGTCTGCCTGGTGCGAGGGGCACCACAGGAACTCAACGCAGCAGGAGTGCCTGCTACCGCCTTCTCCGCCGCAGCCTGGCTTATTTCTTGGGCACCGCGAGAGAAAGCCAAGTCTCTATGGAGAGGCCGGTTGGGCTGGGACAATCCGGACTTCAGGAGCTGCTGGGCCAGGCCTTCCCAGCCTCCGAGACCCGTTTTCCACAGCAGAGAATGAAACAGCAGCTGCTGGAGTATTCAGGACTCTCAGGCGGGTGCTTCATGAACGTGCGTGTGCAACGCTCCTCCCTGTGCTCCCAAGCCCCCGAAGACGGCCTCCTGTTCGAATCACGCCCGTTACAGGCTTTGGGCCTGCCCGGCTCCCAGGTAACAGAGTTAGTCACATGGCCGGCCAGGGGCTGTGTTTCTACCCCCGCCCGGCATGCAAGGGCCCCTCTCCAATGCACACGTGTCATTTACAGCCCCACGGCTGCTCTCCACGCAGCCCATGGGCTGGGGAGCACTGGGATCAGGACCAGCCCCGGACTCACTGGGACAATCCAGACCGACGCGCTGCCAGCCGGACCAAGGATCAGCAGAGCCTGTGCGGATACAAGACTTGCAGTCGCATCCGCCAAGCCGAGCTGCGTACATCCCAGGTCACGGCCATGCACGTGAAGTGGGGAGCAGCGGCCAGGCGGGGCCCCCGGGATCAGTCACTGCTCACACAAGTCAGCAGGCGCTGGTGCTGAACACCCCCTCCCCTGCAGCCTGCTCTCTCCTCCACCGCCCCAGGCTGCGCCCGGACGCGCTCCACGGG